ATATCACAATCCAAAACAAATAAACTGCTTTTATTAAGTGTAAGTTTTTATAGCAAAAAATGATGAAAAAATATCAAATAATAAAAAATGAATATAAATTATAAAAAATTGAAATGAAAATTAAGTTAAAATAGCCAAAAAAATTTTATTTTAACAAAAATCAATAAATAATGATGATCATTCAAAAGTAAAAATTATTTATTTAAATAAATAAATTGAAAATTAAATATACAAAAGATATTAATAATAATAAAAGTAATATTATAAATTAAATATACTTTAGATCAATATGGAGAACCTAATGAGATAAAAGTGAAGAGCTTAAAAACTTTTTTTATTAATTTATATATTTGGTTTTATGAAGAGATACTACAGAAAAATTATTTTAACATTAATTATTTAAACTTAATATTTGTATTTAAAACAAACACTTAAAAATATATATAGTAGGAGTTAGAGATGGCCAGTTATTTATCTATTTAGTCATATTTGAAAAAATTTTAGTAGTTTATGTTCTTAAATTTTATAAAAATAATGTTTATAAGTAGATTTTTCTGTTTTAGCTCTGTAATTTTTTTTTTGGAATATTTATAATATATCTAAAAATTGCAAGATGCCAATTAAAATATGTTTTTTTTTTGTTTAAATTTGATTAGAAATTTTTATCAAATTATCAAAAATTAACTTATTGACTATTTGCAATTATAACTAAATTACAATATAAATAGTTAAAAAACTATTTTAAAGTTTTTTTTTAATTTAATAATAATTTATATAATACAAAATGCTTAAAAATAAGTCGTACACTAATTTTAAGGCAAGCATAATCAACTTTCATTTAAAAAATTAAATAAATAATACAAAGTTATAAAAATTACTTTATACTAATTTAAGCAATTTCATGATCATTTATTAAAGAAATCTAATCGAATAATTTAATAAAAATAAATAAACCTATTTTTGTTAAATAATAGCAGTAAATTAGAAGTATTGAAAAATTAAAATTCTAAAATAATTAGGAAAACATAAAATGATTATTATTTTACTTATTTTATCTCTTTAGAAAAATAATTTTATTTGAAATCATCTAAAATTTATGATAAATGTTTTCTTTTGTATTTATCATAAACTAATGAGTACATAATTGCTTTCTAATAAATTTTAGTTTTTCTATTAATTAAATCTAATTAGCCCTTATAAGGTTCAAAAGCTTCCACAAAATATTTTCCAATTTTTAAACTTTCAAAATGATATAAAGGTTATAATTTTTAAAAGTTATCTAACAAAGATAAAGATATTCCTAGACTAAATACATCACTCTAAAGTAATTTAAATAAAATTTCATTCAAATCTAATAAAATTTTAATCAAAAATTTAGTGGTTTGCATGCTACTTATTATGAAATAGATTTTTTATTTATTTATTAAAAAATCTGATTTTGATATTTATTATAGCCGTTCCTGATATAATGGATATTGAG